TGGTGCTCAGGCGAGAGCAGTGAGGTTAGACAGGAAGGAGTAGATGCGAGGATAACAACAAGAGGACCGGGTGACTGGCTGGATGTGGACTGTGAGGGGGCGAGAGGAGGCCAGGATGACTCCCAACTTTCTGTGTTGGGCGAGTGGGTGGGTGCTGGTACCACGAGCTGAGGCAGGGCCTTTAGGAAAGTGAGTGGGCAAGAGAAGAGCGGATGGGAGGACGACGAGCTCCTATCTGGACTTGCTGAGGTTACTGAGCCAGGAGGTGGGGATCAGCGGGCAGTGCAGAGCTCCAGAGAGAGGCTCTTCTCTGTTCCCACAGGGAAATACCTGACAGGACTCATTCCTGGGCAGGGCAGGAGTATGTGACACCCAAGCTGTGGGTTCCTCTAAAATGCAAACCGTCAACTATTGAAACAAGCTGACTGCTATAACAAAGCATGCGGTTGTGTCCCGCATCTGAGGAGAGGATGGCCCTAGAGCAGGGGTCCCCAACCCCTGGGCCAAGGACCAGTACAAGTCCAAGGCCTGTTAGGAACCGGAGGTGAGCGGCGGCTGAGTGAGCAAAGCTTCACCTGCCGCCTGGACCATCCCCCTCCCCGCCCCGACCTTGGAAAAACTGTCTTCCACGAAACCGGTCCCTGGTGCCAACAAAGTTGGGGAGCGCTGACCTAGAGGATCAGTAAGACCAAGGCAGAACCCTTGATTTCCCACTTATTTATTCCCCATGCCCCCCTTCTTTGTGACACTACCATACACCCTAGAGCTCAAGCCCAAACCCTACAACTTACCCTTCAAGCCTCCCTTTCCCTCCCCCCATCCACTTCATCTAATTCATCGTCAACCACCACTCTATCTCTCAAACACCCCATCACTCGTGATCCCTCATCCTGCGTTATCTTCATAAGCATTTATGCTATCTAAATATACTATCTAATTTATACTACTGAATATAATACTTTACGTCGGTCTACTTGCTTGCTGACTATGTCCCCATTGGAATATAAGCTCCAAGAGGATGGGGGCTTTGTCCTATTCTTCATTATATCCCTCATCCCTACAACAGTGCCTGGCGCACTGTAGGAGCTCCATAAGCGTTTCTTAAATGACGTTCTGCATCTGAGCACTTCTCTCTCTCTCTCTGCTGCCACCACACAGATTCAAGCTCTCGCACAGTTCCCGGAGTGCTCCCAGCACACACTTGGCAACTGATGGCATGTGGGCCAGGGCGGAGGGGGAAGAGCCCGAGGTGATTAGTCTTTACAAGTCCTGGTACCTCTCCAATCCACCCATTTTTCACGAAGCAGCCGGAGTAGCCCTCTAAGATCAGAGATCATGTCACTCCCCTGCTTAAAGTCTTCCAGTGGTCCTCAAGGCCCAGCATGCCCACCTCTGCAACTCCACCTCCGATCACTTTACCCCTTGCTCTCTACTCCCCATGCTCGGCTTCTGTCCCTCCACCCAACTGACCTTCAGTACCAGCCACACCTCTGTCCTCCCCAGCAATCTGCAGGGATCTCCGCTCATACACCGCCTCCTCAGAGAAGCCTTCTCTGACCATTCAAGCTGAAGTGCAGCCCTCCTCCTCTCCTGCAATCCCAGGCACCCTCCAGCACGCCAACCTGGTTACTTCCTTCACATCACTTATCACAGCCTGTTCTCATTTACTGATTTGTTGACTTGATTATTGTTTCTCTCTTTCTTACCTCTCTCTCCCCCGCCATGTATTCCAGTGTCCAGAACAGAGTCAAGGCTCAATTATTATTTGTTGGACAGAACTATGTTTCCACTAGCGTGATGGTGATGGTGATGATGATGATAATGATGATGCCGATGACGCTCATACTAATGATGCGCCCCACAGTGAGACACTGGTTTGATTCTGTGGATTCAAGGACTGACTGGAGCATGTTATTGACCACCTATTAGAGACAGAACCCACTGTTACCAGCTTGGTCTGCGCTTTGAAGCTAGAATGTGTGTTTGTGTGTGTGTGTTTTCTTCATACCAGGAGACCTCACAGTCATCATTAGGTACAATCTACCACCTGTCTCCAGGGAGACCCACTCAGTAAAAGCAAAATGAGCATGTGTCAGGTCTCCTCTGTCACTCTGCAAGACGGGGCGGATTAACTGTGTTTGGTAGACAATAAAAATTGAGATGGGAAGTGCTCAGATCAAGAACTTCTCTTGGACCCTTTAGATGTTCTTTGCAGCTCCTGCACTCACTCTGCCAGGAAGGATTCTGAGGACATGCTAGGGAAGAGGGAAAATGCAGTTAACCAGACAGTGCTGGAGGGAGGGATTAGGTCTGATAGCCAACAGGGGCTGCAGAAGAAAGATTCTGGCCAGAAACTGAAGCATGATGACCTATCAGTTTCAGTAACACTGGGGGAAAACTTGAACTCACCTCCTACTGCTTCTAAAAAAGAGGCATATGTTAATGAACCTCAATTCAGAGATGGAAGAAACCTCAAACAACTGTTTCATTTTACAGATGTGTAACTTGAACCCAGAGCGGAGAAAGGACTTTCCCAGGGTCATACAGAAATTCCATGACTGATCTAAGGCTATAGGATTCTCACTGTTTGAAGGTCAGTGTTTTTATCACACATGACAACACAGGTGCAAGCCTAACACTGAAGCTAAATTAAACTAAGTTATCCATGTATGGCCACAGAAACTAGCAAAAGACTGTGTCCAAAACTTACCCAAGGGAATTCCCTGGTGTGGCGGTGCGGTGGTTAGGACTCCACGCTTTCACTGCTATGGGCCCAGGTTCAATCCCCGGTCAGGGAACTAAGATCCCACAAGCCGTGCCCCGCGGCCAAAAAAACAAAAACAAAAAACTTACCCAAATTCCTATGGCTCCGGCTTCCGTGGTGGCGCAGTGGTTGGGAGTCCGCCTGCCGATGCAGGGGACACGGGTTCGTGCCCCGGTCCGGGAAGATTCCACATGCCGCGGAGCGGCTGGGCCCGTGAGCCATGGCCGCTGAGCCTGCGCATCCGGAGCCTGTGCTCCGCAACGGGAGAGGCCACAACAATCAGAGGCCCGCGTACAGCAAAAAAAAAAAAAAAAATTCCTATGGCTCTCATTTTCAGTCCACTTTCCTCTTGGTTCATGGCCAGCCTATTACAAGGCATAGGTATCACTTCCCCTTTGACTTCCAAGCAGATACTACCAAATGAGGCAGGAAACAACTGAAAGATATCTGTTGGTAGACAGCGGGGTTGCACACAAGACTTAAGCAGCAGGTGAATCATATGAGATAGTGAACACTCTTTGAAGCCATGTCAATCAGAAGTCATGGCTCTCACTCCAAAAAAATGTGGGAAAACAGGACCATTCAAGAATATCGAGTGTTCTGTGTGGGATGAAATGACTTGGGGAAAATAAGAGGAAAAGAAGGTTAAGTCTACCACTCAGGGTTCTAAGTTATCAGGTCACATATCTGGGAGCTCAGAAGAATGTTTCTATAAAAAAATACAAATGAAAATATATTTCTAAATAACAAATGTGGAAACTGAGATCAAAATAACAAAAGATAAGGAACCACAAAGCACCAATCAGACCTCGGGTCCAATCCTAAATAATTACCTTGGACAAACAGTCTAGATACTTAATCTTTCTCCCTTATCTTTACAGCAAGGATAACAATGGCAATAAAAACATAGTCATCACTTACTGATCACTATCTCTACGACAGGCAACGAGGTAATAAGTACTTTATATGCCTTCTTTCAACTCAATCTTCATCTCAATCCCATGAGATGTAGGCATCATCATTCCCAATGAGAATCAGAGAGATGAAGTAATTTGCCCAAATTTATAACCAAATCGCAGAACCAAGATGTGAATTCAAGTTTAAGCTCTTAATCATTATATTTCAATCATTATATTTCAAGCTAGCTCTTTGTTCATGCTTCCTAAATGATCGTTTGTGTCCCTTCCAGTTCTTATTCACAATCCTTGTCATATCCTCCACAAAGAAGGTGCAATAAGGCTCAATCCTCCATTGCCAACTCTCAAACCATCTATTGCCAAAGTCACTAAATTCCTGGTCAGCTAATTGGGGGAGGGGAGGCCAGGAGAAGAGCTCCCAGTGCTGTCCCTTCCCATTCCAGCTAGAGAACTCAGAATCTAGCAGGCACAGGGAAAGGAGTGAGAACTGTAGCACCGAATTTTCTTTTCCGGGGATCAACTTCCCCTTTGGAAGGAGGGAGCTGGGCTACAGGGCCCCTGAGGGGACCAAGGAACTGCGGCAAAGGGCATGTGTTCCCAAGTGACTTAACTTCTCAGTTCCTGTCCCATCTTCAAAAGAAGTGATAGATAATAATTGCACGCACTTCACAAAGTTACTTAATTAAATCAAATAATTACCCAAAAGAGCTCAGCAGAGTGCCTGGGACATGGTGAGCATTCAGTAAATGTTACCTATTATTGCTATTGCCATTACTATCATCATCATTCCAACTCCAGCATTCGCGGTGTCTCTATTAAGCCAGGGAATTCCTTCGTGAATGACTTTAATTTACAAATGCATTCACTGGTCTGTCTAAAGAGCGGCTCTAGAGCCCTGTATTTACCGCTTTCCCTGGCACACTGACCAGGTTTTCTGCCTCCAAAGGAAGTCTGCGACTTGCAGAACTGCCATGATAGTACCAGCAAAGACTTCCCTTTCCCTTCTCTATCGGCAGCGGTGCGAGGCTTCAGCTCTAGGGTTCGGGAGCCCGCCCACGTCAGCCACCATTGGTAGCCCCGTCGCTGGCGTGATTAAGGCCCCGCCCCCTTATCTCTGGGACCACTCTGAGGCCATCTCCGAAAGCGGAGGGGCCTCGGAGGAGGGCCCGCGATGCATCCTGGGTTTTGTAGTCCATCTGTAAGGCTGCAGCCTGAGAGCTGGGCCTTGCGACCCGGGGAACTACAAGCCCCAGCAGCCGGGCGGAGAGCGAAGAGAGGGGGCACTCGCGTCACGTGGGCGATGGGCCTGGGCGGGCTGCTTCTCAGTGCGGCGGCGGCGGCTCCGGGGACTGGGGCCTTTTGTTTGGAGCGGCGGCGGGGGGCCCCGGAGCGGCGAGGCCGGCGGCCTTCCCCTGCTCGCTCGGTCCCGGCCGCCCCTCGCGGGGGTGCGGGGGGCCGCCCCCTGGGCCGGGGCCTAGTCTCAGGCGCCCCCGCCCCGCCCTTGGCCCGCCCCGCCCGGCCCGAGGGGAGGAACCGGCCGGGCCTCCCCGCGCGGCCCAGCTACCTCCGGAGTCGCCGCCGCAACACTGCGCGCCGTACCCGAGGCTGCCTCTCGCCCCTTAGGCCGACGCCATGAAGATCAAGGATGCCAAGAAACCCTGTAAGATGGGGGCTTGGGCTCGTCGGGTTGGGAGAGCAAGTTGGGCCACGTCGGGAAGCCCCTTGTTGTGGTGGCCTGGTTCGAAGCCGGTCGCTCCCAGCCGTCGCCCAGCACGGGATGGGGGCGGAGGGACCTTTGCAGCACCCGGTTCGAGGCTCCCTCCCATCCCCCTACGCTCGGTTGACGAACGCTTGCCGCCCCCTAGCCTTTCCTCCTCGAGAGCTGGGAGGTGCAAGGGGGAATTTTTGTTCTGGGGTTTGGCAGGCAAGACCAGAGTTACCAGCTTCCTCTGAAGTCAAGTTGAAAATGGGTTGTCACAGATGTCAAGTTGCGCGGGGACATTTACCACTCTTTTTTTTTTAATTTTTTTAAACTGATTTCTGAGCTTTCTGCTTGTGTCCTTGAAATCCCGGTGGGTTCCTGGGAGTTGTCTCTGTTGTTATAATTAGAGCTTTTAAACACGGCATGTAACCTACCGGTGGGTAAGTGCCGTGAATTGTTTAGAATAACTAGTTCATGTTTGTTTTTTTAAAAAAAGATCAAAGTCATCCGTATTCCCGCCACTCAGAGCTAACCACTATTAATCTTTTGGTGACTACCCGTAGAGATTTTTCTACGACTATATATAGCCTATACTTAAAAAAAAAAAAAAGAAAAACTTTCCATACTGAAAGAGAGTAGATCAACTTTTTTTTGCTTCCTTTTATTTTTAGCCTTTTAAAAACCTTTTACTCCTGTGAATGGCTTATTTAATCACTCAGCCGTTGTGATTGTCCTACTTGAAGTTCATTCTTCCAGAGCGACTAGGAATGCGGGATGCATGCTTCTGTCTTAGAATTGTATTGGTGTTTTGCCATTTTGCAGTGTCGTGTGATCCTCCCAACAGTTCTAGGAAATCTCTTGCTGTAGAACGGCAGCACTGATACTGTCTTTTCCCGCCCGCCCGTCCGGTCTTGAAAACCTCCACGGAGAGGCAGCATACCAAAGCACTCCAGAAACTGTTAATTGTTATTTAAATGTGAGATAATTTGGTTCTCATTTTACTGCTGAGGAAAACTGAACTTACTGAGCCCCAGAGTAACTTTTACAAGGCTGCACCTTGTACAACTTGTACACCTTGTACACCTTTTACAACTCTGCTAACTGAGGTTCAGGGCCCTAAGTCACCTGACTCATAGTCCTGTGTTCTTTCTTTTGCACCTGTAGGGCGTAGTCTAAATACTTAGAGAAGCAGAAACCTTTCTGATCTGGTAGTTTTATCTGCCAGTTAAAACATTTTTTTAAACAATGATTTAAAAAAAAAAAAACAATAACTAAAGAGTTCTCGTTCAGGAGTCTATGAAATACTGATATGAAGTCTTAAAATGAGAGAGTAATATAGAAATACTATTTTACTTTACATTTGCTGAATTAAATGAATCTTGAACAGATGCAGTAATGTAGAACAGTTGGACATCTTCCCTCAACACAGGTTTTCTCTGCTTGTGTTAGAATTTCCATTTAGTAAAATGAGTTTAACTATGACAAGCTCATATTCTGACCCTTATGATATTATTTTATTTTTGCCATGACAGCGATTTGATTACTTAGATTTGGGCAAACTTATAATCAGGTGTGAATACCATCTCTGGCAAAGGTGTTTCATATCTAGTAAAGATGATAATTAAGAGTTTATAAAATAAACTTTAGGTTAAGAAATAAAAGAACATCTATTTTTTAGAAGTAATTTGTTTATTAATATATTGTGGTACATTGTGAGACCATTAATGTTAAAATAGAGTTATGCTGAAAAACCAATTAATATGATTTAGAAGTCTGAAATAACATTTCCAGTTTCCTACATGTAAAAGATGACTTTACTGTCTACTTAGCTCTTTACAGTAAAAAGAACATCTTGTTCTTTTTGCATGTGGGAAAGAGTATTTCAACTATGAACTGTCATGAAAATATATATATATAACTAGAAAGTATTATTTCTGATGTTTCAAACCACTCAGTTTAGCTAAAGACACATTTGTTTTTGAGTTCTTGCGTAGGGTTTCTTTTTTTTATAATCATAAATTTAGTGAGCACTTTGTATGTAAGGCACTATCTTTACATGCATTGCGTCATTTAATCCTTAGAGCAGCACTAGTAATTAAAAGCTGTATCTCATACTGTATCTCAAAGTTAAACAAGTGACTTTAGCTTCACACATTTTCTTACAGTTACTCACCCAGGTGTTAGAAAACATTGCTTTTTGATACATCACTAATACATACCAGCCTATAAACCAAATGCCTGTATTTAACCAGAAAATAAGAAAAGGAATTGGTTTCACCCTCTAAATTGTGTAACTAAAAGATGTGCGTTTGAAGTTATGTGTTAATTCAACTCCAGGAGAAGAGTGAAGTCAAACAATCTAATGAAAAATTTTTTCCTAGAACCAAAACAGTGGCAATGTGTGCATTACCTTTACTTGTGTTTTTCACGCTACTTAAATAATAGTAAAAATCTAAACTGGTGTTCCTCTGTACCTCAACTGACATGATTTTTTAAGGTAAGGGTCAGCCTCTGTTTTGCTTACCTGTAGAGCATGTAACATGATTAATAGAGTGATAATAAAAGATTTTTTTATATACATATATATATTTATTCATTTGGTGCAGTGTAAGTTTGGGTGCCTGCTTTGCTAACCCAAGCAGTAAGGTATGTGAAGTTTTTGTCAAGACCAGAGAGAAGTATGTAGCATATGTGTGCCGTTTGCTTCTATGTAATTTGATTGGCCTGTTTGTAAATTGAGTCATTACTTAAGAATGATCACTTCCAGTGGATAGTAAGGTGCAGTTGGAGGTGATAGTTTCTAATATTCTCTTAGATGTAACTAATTTACCAAAGGGGGGAAAAGTCTTCTGAAGCTCTTCTGAGGAATTATAATACTGAAGGTGTGAGTATGGTTTATTTTCTTAGTCTGTTTTAAAACAACATTTTTATTCGGAATGATTATTGGGAAGAGTGAACTGTCTTTTATTCGGGAACTTGAACCGTATATGGAATTGACCATATCACGTGCTCATTTTAGAATTTTGTTCCTTAAAATAATCCACCAATGTTTCTGAACATTTTCAGCATTTGGTTTCTCTTTCTGCTCAAGAACAATTAAATTCTAGTTTGGCATAGGATCCCTTTGGGCTAAAATCTGCATGGGGCCAATAGCAATTAAATAGCTCCTTAAAGCTTCTCCGCTACCTTTTACCAACACTTAACAAGACACCAAACTTTTATAATGCAGTTTGTTAGAAATTAACAGTCTGCCCTTGTGGCTAAAAAGGTGATCAGGCATGTGGGTTTCTTCTTTTGCATACCTACCTAATCTACCTGGTAGGAAAGATAATCTCTTGGTAGCACTCTGCTTATGCTGGTTCTGGATATTTTTGTTACTTATGGGGAACTAATGGCAGTTCTCTTAGGCTCAGGTGAGAAATAGAATAGGAGCTACTATTTTTTTGGAAGGCCACGTAAACATCATGAGAGATTCTAGGAAATGCTCAAAGTCTGTAGAAGGTAATGTTTATTTGCCATCATCAAAGTACTTATTTATATTTATGGAAGGTATGTTTTGTTCTTTAAATGTATTTTGGTTCATTTTTTTCACCTTGACAGTGGAGAGTTTTATTCTCGAGAGAATGAGAAATGTTTAGGCTGTATGCAAGAAGTAGGATGCTTACGCACTGGTGACCTACTTTTAACCTGTCCCTTGGCCAGAAGCAACAAAGCTACAGATTTAGATATTTGCCTGATTTCTTTGGAAAGTGGTATTTTTCTTACCTCATGGAAGTATTAGTGGGCCTCTGGTTGTCCTTAATAACTTTGTACTTTCATCACAAATCAATAAAGTTTGAGTTTTGTGCCCCCTCCCCTTCTCATTTTAGTTAGTGACAAAATAACAAGCATAAGTATTTGCTTTAAAACACTGGAAATTAGATCACTTGCTAAATCAAAGGAGTGGATCGTAATTAAGAATATGTGTCTTCTGTGTTCTTGTTGCCTCCCCCATACCTTTTGAATGGTGATTATTTCTCTGGCATAAGGAAATGAATTCCAGAACTCTGCCGAGTTGAAAGGATCTCTGTGCAAAAGAAGGGACCTATAATGTTCTAGTTTGGATATTAAGGTAACCAAGACGTTCATGGTCTGCAATATAGCATCTCCAGTTACTCTTCCTTTAAGAGCAGATACCCCTAAGAGGACAGACATAGAGGTATCTAACAGACTAGATGTGAGGTGAGTCTTGAATGGCCTCTGATTCATTTTAAAAGTGTGTTACTGGGAATTCCCTTGCAGTCCCCGCTTTCACTCCCAGGGCGCAGGGCGCTAGTTCAGGGAACTAAGATCACACAAGCCATGGGGCGTGGCCAAAAAATATATACATCAATAAAAGTGTTTTACTTATTTAAGATGGCCTCCATTGCTAGCTACCCAACAAAATTGAGAAAATTTAGTTTCTTCAGCATCTTAGTTGTTTATACAAATCTATAGGTGACAAAAGCATTGTGCCTGTATAGAGAAATGTACAGAATCTTTTCTCATTGAATCGTATGTTCCTGGTTTCTAATGGTACACACATATCAAATAAGTAAAATATCAATATATAAGAAAGTAGAATTTTAGAGGGAACTAAATTTCCTTGACAACTTATACATAATAAACTGTTAAATACATGTTGTTAGGCATTTCGTAATCTATGTGTCTTAAGTATTAAATTATTTTTGAGTCTCTATCATAATGATTAAGATTCCAGAGAATAGAAACAGACCTTAAGGAAACTAAGATTTGAGAGGTTAATGGCTTTTCCAATGTCGTATAGCCCAGTTAGTGAGAGAGCACCAAGTCCCAAACCCAGATGATGCTACCTCCCCAAATGTGCCTGTTTCCAAGTAGATTTACCTTCAGCGCTATCAACAGCTAATTTTATTAACCAGATGCACTAAAGAAGCCTAGTAAGTTTAATGAGCAAAGAAAAAAAGTTCTTTTTAAGGAGGTACTTTTCCCTTGGGTTACTTGAAGTGATTATAGGCCAATTTTATTACATTAAAATCTTAGAAACATTTTCAAGCCGTAGGTGATGACCTATTATTAAAACCAAATTGGTCCAGATTTTTCCTAATCTCCTGGGGCACATGATAAATATGTAATAAATGAAAAGGAATGCCTACCAGACCAGGAATTAAAAGGCCCTGGTCCAGCCCCAGGCATGCTGAGTTACGGGTTTTTAGAAAATACACAGAATAACACTTTGAAGGGAAAAGGGTGAGTTTCACATAGATTTGTCTTACCTCAAAAGTATTATTGACTGAATGCATGATTCAGGGTAAATGAAGCTTGTGGCTAATTAACTAGGTCCTAATTTGCATTTCTAAAATCAGGATATATATTTTTATTTATTTTTTATCCATAGCTTTCCCATGGTTTGGCATGGACATCGGGGGAACTCTGGTAAAGCTCTCATATTTTGAACCTATTGATATCACAGCAGAGGAAGAACAAGAAGAAGTTGAGAGCTTAAAAAGTATCCGGAAATATTTGACTTCTAATGTAGCCTATGGATCCACTGGTATTCGGGATGTACACCTTGAACTGAAAGATTTAACACTTTTTGGCCGGAGAGGGAACTTGCACTTTATCAGATTTCCAACCCAGGACCTGCCTACTTTTATCCAAATGGGAAGAGATAAAAACTTCTCAACATTACACACGGTGCTATGTGCTACAGGAGGTGGTGCTTACAAGTTTGAAAAAGATTTTCGCACAGTAGGTATTTAGCTCACAGGCAAAAATCGGTACCCATTCTCTTCAGTTTTTAAAGTATGAGGCTCGTTTTCTGTCTGGTATGTTTCTTAGACTAGTTCCCCCTGCTGATAAAGGAGAAGTATGTATTCATGACTTACTTTTGATTGGAGCATTTAAACACCTTTATACAATGAGTAAAAACTGGCCAGAGCTGGGCCTGTCGTACATAATATGGGGTAAAACCTGCTAAGTTGAGGAACTGCTACAAAGCTACAGTAAAAGCAGACTTCAGTGAATTTGGCAGTGTGCCAAGCCAGATATAAATGGGGCTTGAAATATTTTCACTATTATTATCCTGTGTTTGCTTGTTTTTTTGAGTATTATCCAGTCATCTCTCCTAAGGCCACCATCTTCCCAAACCCTAACTGAAACCTGTATCTTTTGATTAATAGACACCTGAATTGAAAGTCCCTATTAGCCCTTTTTTCTTGGATCTTATACCATCGACCCTACCATGTTTCTGTCTTGAAGGGGGTCATTTGGATGTGGCAGGCGGATTATGTAAGCGTTGATTTCTGTGCTAGTAGGGGTTTGCCAAGTGTCCAGTCCTTCCCATTAGAATAAAGATTAAAAAGTTCAGGGCTTCCCTGGTGGCACAATGGTTGAGAGTCCGCCTGCCGATGCATGGGACACGGGTTCGTGCCCGGTTGGGAAGATCCCACATGCCGCGGAACAGCTAGGCCCGTGAGCCATGGCTGCTGAGCCTGCGCGTCCGGAGCCTGTGCTCTGCAATGGGGGAGGCCACAACAGTGAGAGGCCCGCGAACCACACACACATAATAGAGTTTATACTTGGGTTTACTGAAATTTGTTTTTCTTGAAAATATGCTTGTGGACCATTTAGTTTCTCAGATTCACATAAGAAAATCTAGAACATAAGCGATCACTTATATGGCTCACTGAAGTGAATACCTTGTAATTTGGGGTAGTTTTTATTAAAAATTTTTATGATGAGTAATACTGATTTGTATTCAGTTTATTGAGTAATCTGACCATAAATTCAAAACCAGTTTTTTTGGATGCGTGATATTTAATGTTTGCCAAAAGCAGTGTCCTTGAAGCTAGCTCTCGCCTGGCCATTGTTTGGAGACACTGGTATTCAAATTACAGAGTTCTAAGTTTTTTTTTAAGAAGTATTGATACTTTCTAGTGATGAAGTTTTATAATATTTGTTTTTTCTGTGCTCAATCATTTATTAAGCTAATATTTGAACATTTAGTTTGTGTTAGGTATTGTTCTAGGCACTGAGAAGTCAGCTAGGAATAAGACACAGACTTAGCTCTCAAAGAGTGCAGTATCCTAGACCACACATTTAAGTGAACTATAAGTTCAGTGCATTATAATTAAGAAGTACAATGCATTATAATTAATACTATTGCTATGAAAAGAGATGCCATAGGAACACAAGGGGGAGTGTTACCTAGTAAGTCCTTAGAGAATTGAAAAGCTTATCTAAGCTGAGGTCTTTTATAGTAAATATTTTATAATATATTCTTTACTAACCTGAAATGAATTTACTAATTTCACATTAGTGAAACTATAATATAAAGACAGGAAACTAATATATAATATAAAGACAGGAAACTATATAAAAAGACAGGAAATTAAGGTATTTATATATCAGTAGGTCGATTCTCTGGTATGATCACACAAGAGGCCATAATGAAGTAGTCAGATTTAGATGCTTGTATGTACATAGATTGAACTTAATTTCTAAAGCCACAAATGCTAAGATTGATAAGGTATGTTTTATTGGAGAATCAAATACCATAAGTGGTATTGCTGTTGTGACATAACTTTCGAAGATGCTAAACAACACAAGGTAAAGTTCCAAACAGTAAAAAGTACAACACTTCCTCACTTTATGTGGTGGTTGTGTTCCTAGCAAATTTAGTATGATTAAAACCACGTAAAGAATACCTTGTGTCGGGCTTCCCTGCTAGTGGTTGAGTTGAGAGTCCGCCTGCCAATGCAGGGGACACGGGTTCGTGCCCCGGTCCGGGAAGATCCCACATGCCGCGGAGCAGCTGGGCCCATGAGCCATGGCCGCTGAGCCTGCGCATCCCGAGCCTGTGCTCCGCAATGGGAGAGGCCACAACAGTGAGAGGCCCGCATACCGCAAGAAAAAAGAAAAAAAAAAAAAAACCTTGTGTCTATACACATATAGATAAAATACTTCCTGTTTACATAGGCTCAGATAATTATAAACGAATTTTCCTACTGCTGCCTACAAAAACGTTGAGCCATGTGAGCTGAGCCTGCGCATCCCGAGCCTGTGCTCCGCAATGGGAGAGGCCACAACAGTGAGAGGCCCGCATACCGCAAGAAAAAAGAAAAAAAAAAAAAAACCTTGTGTCTATACACATATAGATAAAATACTTCCTGTTTACATAGGCTCAGATAATTATAAACGAATTTTCCTACTGCTGCCTACAAAAACGTCTGTCGTAATGTTCAAAGGTAATGCAGGAAAGGGTTAACTCTTTTTTTTGCACAACTGCCCCACCCATTGCGGATGTCTGGCACCCCAAGTCCCTGCCCAGTAAATGTTAGTTTGATTCTCTCCTCCTCCCCATCTTTGTGAAAACTAAAAAGTCCCCACAGATTTCCTAAACGCCTCTAGAAGTAATACCACCACCACTGAGAACCACAGGACTAAATGAAGTCCCTAAGAGATTTTGACACAAAAGAAAATAAGTGAAAACGTGTGGGTTGTAAGTGATTTTGAAGTTTTGTAAAGTACATGGAAATTATATGGTATAGTCAAGTATTTTGAATGCTTTCCTTTGTTCACTTTATAAAACTCGCTTTGGTGTTTTTTTACAGATTGGAAACCTCCACCTGCACAAACTGGATGAACTTGACTGCCTTGTAAAGGGCTTGCTGTATATAGATTCTGTCAGTTTCAACGGACAAGCAGAGTGCTATTATTTTGCTAATGCCTCAGAACCTGAGAGATGCCAAAAGATGCCTTTCAACCTGGATGATCCCTATCCACTTCTGGTAGTAAACATTGGTTCGGGAGTCAGTATTTTAGCAGTCCATTCCAAAGACAACTATAAACGAGTAACTGGGACAAGGTAGTAACCTTTTTGTTCTTAAGGCAGCATTCATATTGTTTTCTACACAGAAATTGTGAAATCTAATGTTTATTGTGCAACAGCTAAAAATGTAGATGTGTAAGTATAAGTTAAAGTGTTGCAGATAATACTTTTTTATAAGGCATGTGTGTAGACTCAAACTAAAAGCATTAAATGTTTATATTTGGTTAGCATCAAAATTTCCATAATAAAAAGTGAATTTTTATCTGGAATGATTCCAATAACATTTTAATTTTCCAGAGCATTTTTCTCATTTTTATATAGATATATTTGAGCCTAAAGCTTGAAACATTCTTATTTGATTCACATTTAAGTGGAGTATTTGGCAACATTGTAATTAATTCATATAGGATGAATTTAACATGAACTCTTTTCTTTAATACCTGGAATATGAATGTGAAATGAGATTTTAAAATTTTCCTTATGATTCCAATATGTACCTTATCACCTTTTAAGGAAGCTGGAGGCTCCTATTTATTTAATTGAGGAAGAAAGATTTTAGGATGCTTTAAATTAGATTGATTTGTGAAAAACACTCTGGCCACGCTCTGCAGCATATGGGATCTTAGTTCCCAAACCAGGGATCAAACCTGTGCTCCCTGTGTTGGGAGCACGGACTCTTAACCATTGGACTGCCAGGGAAGTCCTGAAAAAAACTCATTTAAATTTTAATGTAGTACTCCTATTTGAATAATACTTAAATTTAATTAGCATTTTATTTCTGTGGTGGCTGAAAAGTCTACCTCCGTTGAAACTCTCTATGCCAAAGAATTACAGGGAAGTACTACCTACTTCAGTCAATTCAAAAAGACAGAAATTCAGTCTGTTAACTAAATTCCAACAGTGATTCAGGAATAGAACCTGCTAGAAATTTAGGTGAGACTAGGGAGCAAAGGTTTTGATTTTAGGGGCTAGAGTGGCATGATTTCATTTTGTGAGCATATCCAAAAGAATAATAGAACCAAGTTAATTTCTGTCTTTAACATGATGACCAGCCTGACATAAATGTCCTCACTGTATTCATATTGGAGTCATGTAAATGTTAATGTATCACATTGAGTTGATTTCAGCCTTCTCGGGCTAAGTAAATAGGCCTTTCACAAAATTATTTCCTGGAAACCATTTAGAATTACAATTTTTCTCCTTTTAATTTGTACGGTATTAACTTTTAGCACTCCTTTTTCATGCACACAAAAACATTTATTTTTAGCAATTACAAAGTGTAAGGTATCAGGTGAAGATACTAGAAGATATAAAAGGTCTTCTGTGTCATGTTGTTTACACAATGACATTTTTTTCCTTTGGTTTATTCTTTGATCTGACAAATTTAGTTTTGCTATGTGTTTTTCTTAGGTTTAGCAATATCTATCCATTTGTTTATTGAATAAATGAGTGCTCCATCCTTTTACTTTGGAGAAAGAATACAGTGTGTAAATGCAACTTACCAAGTTTCTTTATTTTCTTTAGCCTTGGAGGGGGTACCTTTCTTGGTTTATGTAGTTTATTGACTGGCTGTGAAAGTTTTGAAGAGGCTCTTGAAATGGCATCCAAAGGTGACAGCACCCAAGCTGACAAGCTGGTCCGTGATATTTACGGAGGAGATTATGAAAGATTTGGTCTGCCTGGTTGGGCTGTAGCATCTAGGTAAGTTTAACATTTACATTGTAATTAAAGTTGCTTATTTAGGTTTTTTTTTTTTCTTGCAGTACGGGGGCCTCTTTCTCACTGTTGTGGCCTCTCGCGTTGCAGAGCACAGGCTCCGGACGCGCAGGCTCAGTGGCCATGGCTCACGGACCTAGCCGCTCCGCGGCATGTGGGATCTTCCCGGATTGGGGCACGAACCCGTGTCCCCTGCATCCGCAGGCAGACTCTCAACCACTGTGCCACCAGGGAAGCCCACTTATTTAGTTTTTAGAAAGCAGTGTATCAGGAAGTTGTAAGGGGCTTCCTCTTACCCAGTTTAGTTCTAAGTTTTGAACATTGATGTCGTTTTAAAATTAAATATACATCAAGAAGTCTCCCCTGAATGCACTATAGGAAACTGTTTTTTATTAGTTCTTGAGTATCCTTCCAGTGTTTCTCTATACAAATACAAATAAATATCCTTATCCTCCCCTTACAGAAGGTAACTTTTAGAAGGTAACATTTATATACCATTATATAGTATACCGTATACAGTCGGTTCTCCTTATCCATGGTTCCGCATCTACAGAGTCAACCATCCTCGGATCGAAAATATTTGGAAAAATAATAATTCCAGAAAGTTGCAAAAAGCAAAACTTGAATTTGCTGCACACAGGCAACTATTTACATAGTATTTACATTGTATTAAGTGTTATTAAGTAATCTGGAGATGATTTAAAGTATAGACATAGGTTATATGCAAATACTACATCATTTTATACAAGGGACCTGAGCATCTAGAGATATTGGTGTCCAAGGAAGGTCCTGGAACCAATCCCCCATGGATAAGAGGGAGGACTGTATACAACAGCAGTGTATCCTAGTCTGTTTGCCTGCCTCCCCTCCCTCTCTCTCTCTCTCTCTTTTTCCCCTCTTCCTTCCCTCATCCTTTCCCTCCCTACCCTCTGTCTTCCTCTTTTTCCTTCCTTTCCTCCCTCTCTCCCTCCTTCCTTTCTCCCCCCCCCCTTTTTTTTT